TCCAATTGTCCTAATGAATAAATACGATATTTATTTCACATATTTATATCACTATTAATTATCATTGTTTTCCTARTGAAATCACTATATCAAAATCTTTATTTCTGTTGTCAGCCAGCTGGTCTCGTCACCCTAGAAGGTAGTCAGCAAGATATTCCCGTGTTCAGCAGGTGTTTAACATGGTCATTCTCTCAGTCAGTGAAAGAACTACTTAATCAACCTTTAGAAAACACATCTTATCTCTCTACATATGTCAAAATCAATTTATATCAAAATTCATTTAACAACCTTTTTTTAGTTACTCACATGGCCTCGGCATGTAAATTCTGTTTATTACTAATAAGTCTTTTCGTGTTTAGCTGATTTGAGGAATATAAAACGTGCGCGCGCGTGTCTCTGTACAGTAATATAAACACACATGGTGCTGTAGAGCGAGAGAGAAGCAAGCTTAGCGTAGTCTCGTAGTTCTCTTCATCTCCCAGAGTGTTTATATCACAATACAGAGAAAGCAGCCGTTTCATATTGCTCTTATAAAATATTTTTATGAAAATCGCCATGTCACGTTCAAAATTTATAAAAGCGGCCAAACGATATTTCACGAAAGAATCCTTTACCATCCTGTATGTATGATATATTGGTGTGACGTGGTGTATGCTAAGTTAGTGACGTCATATATAATCGATATTTAGGCCTATTTCGGGACTCCGACAGATGTAGTGGTAATGACATCAGTCAAGCAGAAAAGAAACCCAGCTGTTGAGACCAGGCAAGAGAATTCACATCCATGAGAACAATCAATAACAATGATTCGTACGAAAAAGTTCAGCCTTTTACTAATGAAGTATTGTAGTATAAGCGGACTGTTCGTTAATTATCGTCAGGAGGGGGGCGGTGTTTAACTTATGAAAAGTATCAATGAAAAATGTGCCCCCCTTAAATTTCAAAATTCAAAAAACGTACCCCCTAATGTGGCTTCCTTTGCAAAATATGTACTCCCCCCTCCGCCAACAAACTTGTCAACTGGGAACCAGGCAACTCTCCCGAGTAGCAAGGACGCCTGTTACTTTTTCATGATGAAAAACGAGCTCTTAAAATAGTTTCTTGTAACTTATCATAGTCAACATCGAATCTTGACTGCAACAGGACTGATCAAACTATTAAGTGATGGGATCCCTGTGATGCAAATACACAGGAAGCCCACATAACAGTATTAAAGACGAATACTGTACGATACATGTATTGTAAATTTATATGTGTATGATTGTAATGTATTAATAATTATTAGCATTAAGTCTTAAATATTTGTAACAGATATATAGACGCTAATAATGTAAATAAACTAAACTAAA